ACGTCTTACAAGCAGACTACTTTGGTTAGGAATAGAGTTCCAATTAAATCATAAAGATCCAACTCCTGGCTGGATGAGTGAGTAAAATCATCCGACTTGTCATTGATGACCCCAACTTACTGCCTCTGAGTCGTCCATCCATTTGACCGAGACTCAGTTAAGTCTAACCCAACGTGCGACAGCGACCACGCTATGGCGGTTCCCGTAACCAGCTTAATATACACCGTACTATGCTCTGCTGAGGCTGAGTACATGACAGTGCACATTAACCGGATAGGTGCCGGGCGTCAGAAGGCGACAGACTTAATATTCGTAAGGGATTTATAATTACGATCTCACCTATCGACATCGCCGCGCACATGTCAATTACTAGCGTTCAACATACATTCAACATGCATTCACAAAACGCAGTAAATAAACGTGTAATGATTGTGGCCCCTAAAAGAAAAATAAAACGATAGCTCCCACTGGCTTCCGGTCACTTGGACTTCGGGCTATCTCCATTCTTTTAGATTTCTTCAAACAGTCTTCAAATCTTTTCGTCTTTTAACCACCACGTAAGAAAAGAATCCTCGGTTGAGGTAAGGGAGAGAAATAGATTTACAACAAGACTTTATGAGATAAGGCACGACACGCAGGCCGTATTATAATCAAATAAACTATAGCCACAATCATCCACCATGCATATCATACATCTACACAAGCAATAAAGATATACATACACCGGGTGAACCGCGCTCACCCCAGACAGTTCTAGAAAAATACTACGGGAGTAAATATTTTCTAAAACTCATAAAATTAAATTAGATGTCCAAATAAATCTAATAAAATTTTATAAAATCATTTTATATACTCTAGATATTCTGCAAGCATAAAAACAATATCCAGAATATTCCAAATGACCAAAATGCCCTTTTTACAAAATTATATTCAAAAAGGCCTTTAAAATTTTGAAACAATTTTGCAAAAAATCATGAAAATTAAATTTCAAGTTCTAGTAGTTATTTTTAACATTTATAAACCTGGAAATAAAACTTCCAAAATTTATAAATCATTATTTCCAAAATATATTAGTTAAATCTCAATAAGTTATAAAAAGCCATTTAAATTGATTTCGAAAATATTAAATTACAAAAATTTAATATTTTGAAAAACATTCTTTTTCTTACTGAGATATAACTTTCCAGAATATATATTAGTCATTTATGTAATTAAAATACAAATATATAAATATATATAATATTTCGGTAATAAAACCGAGTACATATATAAATATATATTTATTTAATTACTAACTAATATTATTTTGAACAATATATTTATCAACAACCTTATTCAACTTAGAAATAATATTTCCAAGTTTAATAAAGTTCATTTTGAATTTTCCCATATTTATTTTCGGTTTTCACCTAAATAAATACAATAAATTCAAAATAGGAAATAAT